AGAGTCTTATTTTGTAGCCGTGACTGACCTTAAGCTCAGAGTTGCCTGCTTCTTGAGTGTTGGGATTAAAAGTGTGCACCATGTAGTGTAATGTTATTTGTTAATACAGTGAAAGAAGAGAACTAAAGAGATTTTTTTTTTTTTTAATTAACTCTAGTTGTGATCCAGTCTTCTGGTGGATTAAGCAAAGATGACATTGAAAATATGGTTAAAAATGCAGAGAAGTATGCTGAGCAAGACCGGAGAAAGAAGGTGATTACTTCTGAACGTGTTAAAGCTGACAGACTGGGCTCTTAAGTTTCTCATCTTTATTGTTCCCTTTCATTAATTTATACTTTGTTTAATGTGAGATTACACCCTCCCATTTCTCAGCCTCCACTAGTACCTGGGACTAAGAGCACTTAACTGGGTTGGAATGTTCTCTTAGTCTCCCCGCTATCAAAATTCCCACGCCACAAAAGCCAACTCTTTTCTCCGGGTCAACCCAAGTACTTCTGAGTACAGTCATTCTAGCTCTACTGTTAACAGTGTGGAAAGTAACTTATTGTATCACGTGATATAGAACTTAAGGGAAATCAGTTATGTTAAACTCATAATTTTTTTAAGGAACGCGTTGAAGCAGTTAATATGGCTGAAGGAATTATTCATGACACAGAAACCAAGATGGAAGAATTCAAGGATCAGTTACCTGCTGATGAGGTAAGTTATTAGAAAAAATCAAAGAGAATATTCGCTGATTCATTGAAGCTCATTTTTTATTGGGTTTGATAGTGATTGGGGTTTTTTAAAGCATGAATAAAGGGTAGAGGTGGGAAGGCAAAAAGAATGCTTGAAAATTTGCCTTTAATCCCAGCACTGGGGAGGCAGAGGCAGGCGGATCTCTGTGAGTTCGAGACCAGCCTGGTCTATAGAGCTAGTTCCAGGAAAAACAAAAACAAAAAAAAAAAAAAAGAAAGAAATTTTGAATAGTACACTACATATAAGAAAAGAACATTCTAGAAAAAGGGTTTCTTTTTTGTTTTTTGCCTTTTACAGTGCAACAAACTAAAGGAAGAGATTTCCAAAATGAGAGAACTGCTTGCGCGGAAGGACAGTGAAACGGGAGAAAACATTAGACAGGCAGCATCTTCACTTCAGCAGGCATCACTGAAGCTCTTTGAGATGGCATATAAAAAGGTACAAGGGCCGGAGGGGTAATTTGGTCGAGATTACTGGGAACAGAATGTTACAGGGAAAGACATAGGAAATAGCAGTGGTTTACAAGGGCGGGTGGAAGGAATGATGAATACAATGTGAGTTATGTATGAAGGATGAGGTTAGACCTAATGTGAAATCTCAGTGATCGCAAATATTTTCTCAACAGATGGCATCTGAACGGGAAGGTTCTGGAAGTTCTGGTACTGGGGAACAGAAGGAAGACCAGAAGGAGGAGAAACAGTAACAGTGGCAAGGCATTGAGAGAAGAGGCCAGAAGGACAACATGAAGCTTGGGAGTAAAGGGACGTCCTGAGCAGAAAAAGGGTCAAACTTCAGTCTTTTTACTGTGTTTTTGCAGTAACCCATATAATTTCCTTAATAAATATATGTAGTGAAAATTAGCCAACTCATTTTAACGGGTGGTAATTCAGAAGTAGACCATTCTGTCACTAGCTGGTTAGTTTCAGCCACGTGTAAAGGGGTGGGGTGGGACTGTATACCAATCATTATTAAGATGTATCTGGTTTGTGCTGAAGGGGCCATGTTTTCAAAGTGTGAAACCCATTTCACATGCAGTAGTCTTGTCATGGACCTTGGATTGTATGTAGATCTTTGTTGGCCAAGAGGACTGCTATAAAGAACGGTCTATTTGTATATGAGGCGATCCTTCAACAGGCCTTGCAAGACTAAGCTACCTGTGCCATGCATGGTTTGTTGGTACAGAAGCTAAGCCAGTGTAAGCCAGCTGTTAACCATGGCTTACAGAGATGCAGGATAGTGATGAAGTCTTTTGTGGTCCTAAGCCATACTTTCCAAGCTACCCTCTTGGTTGGCCTGTATCTGGCACTATATCCTTGGTGATCATTCTTTTCATCCATTTTGGAGGTTTTTTTAAGAAAATAAAATTCTAAAAACTTCTTGATCTCCTTTGTGAATGGCATTAGTTTCAGGAAGAAATGACAATGACTTTCTAACACTGGCTAAGTTTGGACACATTAAAGATACAGGAGGAATGATAAAAATACTGGCAGAAGCACACTAACGAAGCCAGGCAGGGCTACATAGTGAGACTCTCACAAGTACTGGCTGGCATAAACAAATCTAAAGGAAAAAAAAAAAAACACTCAACTACTTCCTAGGCAGATGAGGAATCTTTAGTTTCCTCTGTTCTATTTACAACTTTAAAATCTTCAAGTCTCTTAAGCTGTCATGGAACAGGGCACATAATAGCACCGTGGAACACTTTTCATACAGATTTGATTAACGTCTTGTTACCTTGCAGTCCACACCTGACACTTAACCCTAAGTATTTCAGCATCCACTTTACATGATTCCCACAATTATCAAGGTCAGGAATATTAGCACTGAAATAACATTTTAATATATAATTCATATTAAAACTGTCAAGTATCTTGCTCACAGCTGAAATCCCAGCACTTAGGAGGCTGAGGCTGGGGGATTCTCCAAGTTTGGAGATAGCATAGATCACAGTGAGACCAGTTTTCTGTCTTGAAAGCAGTAAAGCAATCCCTTTGATCAGAGCATAGGACCACATCAGTTCTCAAGTAAAGTTTGTAGTGTAGTCCTGGTTGGCTGGGAATTCGCTCTGTAGAACAGGCTGGGCTCGAATTTATAGAGATCCACCTGTCTCTGCTCCTGAGTGCTGGGATTGAAGGCGTGTGACACTATCGCCTGACTTACTGGACATTTTAAATTATTCAAGACAGGGTCTCACACAATCCAGGCTGCCTTAAGCTTACTCTGCACCTTGGGCAGCCCTCGAACCTAAGATCCTGCCTCATTCTTTGAAGAATAGGAACTTTAACCGTGTATCATTATCCTACCCTCCTTTTGCTTTTTTTGTTTGCTTGTTTAAGATGGGAGTCTTATGTTCCCCACCCTACCCAACTCAGCTGACCACCTCAGTACCAGAGCAGCTGTGACTGGCTGTACTCTAGCACTCATGCACCACAGGCATGCACCACTCAGCCAGTTTTCTTTTTTCCCCAGCAACAGTGATGCAGTTCAAATTGAGAATTTTGCTCATGCTAGACAAGTATTCTTCCACTGAGGTATATCCCAGTTCCAAGCAAAATTTATTATGGGGCTCTGGTTGGGGCAGGGGGAAAAAAAGGCCCCAAAATATTTAATCCTAGCAAGGGTTGCAGATACAGGACATAAAACAGGTGGTGGAGTGTTTCCCAGCATCCTCAAAGACAGGGTAATAGGCACACATTTTACTAACATTCAACCTCGGTGGCCAAAGGTTTTTTCCATGCTGGGTACCGTATGTCCAGTCCTGACACCACCGGGAGTTAGTACTAGATCCCACAAGTTCAGCATCTGTAGGTCTACTTTGGATGCCTAGTAAGAGTTCCAGGCTGAACCTGACAAATGGGACCTTCTTTCTGGGTTTGACAACTTGCTAGAGTGGCTCACAGAACACGAGGACACACCTTATCCATTCCAGAGGATAGTACAAAAGATACAGAATAACAGCCTAATGAGGGTCTAGGAGGGTCCTGAGCTCGGGGCTTGCGTCTCTTGTTCTTGCTGCTACTACAAATGAGCCTACCCGCTTTCCAAATGCTATGTTTGGCTTAAAAAGTTCCTGATCACCTCTCCCCCTGTGGCTGCAGCACATCGTCAGTTTTATAGCTCCTCAAATATATTAGACTACTACTTTACTCAACCTCCACGTTTTATTTCAGAATTAGATTCCTTGTCATATACTCTCATATCCGTCGATTATTTTAATACACAAAATATAAAGATCGGCTGGGTTTACTGGTTCACACCTGTAACCCCATCATTCGGAAGGCTGAGGCAGGAGTGTTGCCCGTATTTTTGAGGCCACAAACAAAGTTATAAAAATTACGAACGGTTGCTAAGCAGCGGTGGCGCACGCCTTTAATCCCAGTAGAGGTAGGGGGAAGCGGCTCTCTGAGTTCAAGGCCAACCTGGTCTAGGAGAAACCCATGGGGGGGGGGGGGGGGGGACGGACCAAAACGTTATGAACGGTTATAAGCTCAACTAAACTGTGAATTCCACTAAAGTTAATATTACTTACTCGATTCACCTCTTTCTAGAAAAACTAGAGTTCAACAACTTGCTCGGAGTTCAAATCTTTGATTACACACAATTTGTGAAGTTGGAGACAGACAACTGGAAAGCTTAACTCTTGACAGTTCTAACGTTGCCAACGTTCTCCCCACCTCCACGCTCACAGTTAACAAACCCTCCTTCACTCCAGCGCAGCCGGTCGGCTCCAGCCTCGGCGAAGCTCCTGATCCAGACCTAGAGACCAGGATTCTGAACTTTTGTTCGCGAAGCCACGATACACGCAGGCGCACCGCACTTGGTCAGCGACAAAGCTGACGGCGGAGAGACGTCCTCCAAGCTTTCCAAGCACCTCTGACCACACGCACGTACATACGAGTCGGTCCGAGAAACAGGATTCTGCGTGGCAGAGCTTCAGGTGTCCGTTCAGGTGAAGGGGCAAAAAACGGAAGACAACGACCACTCTCTCGCGCCCTTTAAGAGCCACCGCCATTCCAGCCCATAGAAGCCGAGAAAATGCTCGCCCGGCCACCGGAGTCCAAAGCCGGCGGGGCCGGAACGGAGGCGGTGCCTCCCGCTCCCCGGCCTACACCTCATAAGGCAGCGCGGCCGCAGAGGCAGCCAATCAGAAGAACTCTTGTAAGCGGAGGCACGAGAGCCAATGGGAAGTCGCGGCGCGCGCAGACCCTCTGTGCGTCGCACCGGCCCCCTCCCTTCCGCCCGCCGCCTTCCACTCCGCCCCTGGCGGAGGAAGTGAGATCAGAGGCCCCATGTGAGCGGATTGCAACACATGCAGCTGCCTGGAGAGAGGGAGCCGGTGTCCTACGTCAGAGCCGCCGCCGCCGCGGAGCCGCCGCCGGGGAGGAGCAGCCGCTACCGCCCAGCACTGGGCCCCTAGGTAAAGCGGGCGTAGGAAAGCCGGCGCCCGATGCCGCTGGTTGTCGGGGCGGGAGGAGAGGGCAGCTTGGGGGGTGGCGACGAAGGGGGCCTCTCTGCCCCAGCGGCGGCACTAACTCTGTGGTCTTGGTGTCTCCGGGCCCCGCCGGGCCGCTCTAGGGAGGAGGAGGCGAGAAGATGGCGGACGACCCCAGTGCTGCCGATAGGAACGTGGAGATCTGGAAGATCAAGAAGCTCATTAAGAGCTTGGAGGCGGCCCGCGGGTGAGAGCCACGTCCGCCACCCCCCTGCACTCTTGGATCCGGGACCCTCGGGATGGCCGCCCCCACCCCACATGGCCGGATGGGGAGAACCCGGCACTAGCCAACTCCCGCCTTTAGACCTCCGGGTAGTAGCCTCTGACTGGAGGGCGAGGGTCGGCGCTGCTGGCCGGGAAAGAGTCCTGCCCCCACCCTCTAGGGGTAAGGAGCCGGCTCCCACGGCTCAGATCACTCGGTGCCCTCTCTGGAGAAAGCCCCTGCGACTTTTGTACCACTCTCGAGCCCTTAAATCCAGCTCCTCACTTTTCGGGCTCCTTGTGCTGCCACCCGACTTGGGTGCTGTTGGGGTAAAGTACTTGGCGCTCCTTTCCGAACGCCCTACCCTGATTTTCTATCTTACTCTCGCTTCACGTTCCTCACCCAGGCCTCATTAAAATGGCCTCCCCCACTTGGACTTTCAAGTCCCTTGTGGGTGAAGTTTTGATGGGGGCTGTAAAGGAGAGTTGGCCAAGGGAGATCTTCCCGGCTCACCATTATTTGTTTGGGTCTTAGACCTCTCCGACTTCCCCTAAGTTTTCTAATTTCTCCGGCGCTTCCTGGTTTTGGCTGTTCCAAGACTCGTCTATAAACCGAAAATGCCAGCGTGTGCGGGATGGGCTGGTGGGTTTTTTTGTTGTTGTTGTTAACAAATCTGTTGTGTGCTCATTCAAGATAATTCCAGGTAATGCGACTGGTTGATAGAAACCATAACATTAGTGTCCTTGTTGGCTTTTCTTTGTAACATCTTAGTAATGTCATCGTCGAGTTTCCTGATGGATTAATAATGCTGTGGAAATTCAAAACTTAAAGGGAGCTTCCGGGCTCCTGTAAGTTTTTGTACGAATTTGTTAGTTCATTCCTGGGTGAATAAGCTAGGTTGAAAGTAGCCATATGTTTGCTTTTTGTGAGTTTGCCAGAGGTATTTGTGTTACTTCCTTGTATTGCTGTATTTACTTTCCCAATTATGGAAACTTTTTACTATCTGGCTTGCCCCCACCCGAAAAGTGGAACGTTATATATTGCTGCACTCCATGGCATAGTTATAACAGAGTGCCTTTCTTCCCTGCCATGTGGGAAGTTGACTTCGGCCCACAACTGAGACGTTCTGAGTTTCAGCCCGAGTTTGTCACGGAAGGGGAATCTGACGGTGGTGTGATGACGACGTTGGCACCGAACTCATTAACTTTTTTGGTGGATTCGGCTTCATTCTACCAAAGTTCATGGTTTTAAAGCCAGATGCTTTTGCTTTGGTGTTTCATTCTTAATTAACGAGAAGCTCTAATTTCTGTTTGGAATTAGACGCCTGAAAGATCAGCCTGAAGGTCTTTGCTCATCCCTTTGATGTAGTGTAAAATCTTGAGATGTGGGTAGATAGATGCTTTTGTTGTTATTTCTTAGGGTGTTTTGTTTTAAATGGAATATAAAAACTTTCTAATAGGAACTTGTGCCGTGTGGAGAGTGGGGGGGGGGGTGGAAAGCCCAAATGTGAAAATCATATAGGAGTGTTACTAGAGGTCATGATTCATTAGGACGCCAAGAATTAGCCAAGTACTGTTGTTTCAGTAGACATCCTTTTGTTGTTACTTAAAGCTTTCTGTGGGGTACTCATTTATGAATTCGTCCTGTTACACTGTTTCAAGTTGAACTTGAACCAGTAGGTTATCTCAATGCTTTTATTTATGGTTCTTATTAGAATTTGGATATAGTGCATTCTCTGAAGCAGTTTCAATATGAATTTTTATACTAGTTTGCTTGAGTGAAGTTAACATTGGAGGCGTGGTAAGCTACTTTTCTTTCTCCTAGTTGATCTCATTTGTTCCTAGCCATAGTTCCTAACTACTTGGAAGTGTTAAGGCTCTCTTAAAAGTCTTTGGAAACTTTATTTTCTAGTTTAGAAAAGTTCGGTAAAGTTTGGAGCGTGCTAAAGAACATGTTAGACAGGATTACGCTGTCTAAATTAGCTCGGGGCTCTTCCTCTGAACAAGTAATGCAATTTATAATCGTTTCCTGCTTTGCTTAATAATTTAGCCAGGATCTGGTTGCACCTCGAACCCATGGAAATGCTAAAATCTCAGGTGTTGGTCAGGGAATCAAAAGTTTGTTGTATGTGACTCGGAACTTTTTTGGTGCGTATCAGTTTCTTTTGGGAAATGGCAAGATTTCGTTCTCATGGCTGAGTTGTATTAGTTTTAAGTGCCCCTCCCCCCCTAAAAAATTTTAATGGTTTTGTAAACCAAGCTGGCCTCCAACTCATTATGTGGCTGGCTGAAGCTGGCCTGACTTCTGATCTGCCTCTATTCCCCGAGGTGCTGGGGTTATAGGATGAGCCTGACTAATACTAAAATATTTTTAGGATGATTGTGATGAACCTTAAAGAAAAATTAAATGGCAAAATGGATCCATATGTGTTAGTCTTTGGAGGTGCCCCAGTTTAACATGCGTAGAATTATCTCAGAAGTAAATAGGAACTTGTGGGCAGGTTTAGGATGTGGGCCCCATTAGCTTTCCTTTAGCTTCTTTGTGTGTGCGCATGGGTATTTGTAGAGGTCAAAGGACAACTTTGTGGTGTTAGTTGGTTTTCTCCTTCTACTTTAAGTCACGTTCTGAGGCTGGAGTGCAAGTCATCAGGGCCCCAAATTTTTTGAGTTATGTTCTTACTATGTTGCCCTGGCTGGCCTCGAATTTGGTGTATAGCCGAGGATGGCCTCTAGCTCACAGAGATGTGTGTGTCTCTGCTCGTATATGCTATCACCATTCTCCGCCTAAACACTACTTTTTAAAGTTTGCCCGAGTAATTTTGAAGTTTACTCAGTCAATATGAGGTTATCTTTTGATATATAACCAAATGTAGAGTAGCCCCAAAAAGGACTCATTAGTTAAAATACATTGACAGGATGAAGTCACTACAAAATGATTGACTGAGCGCTTTGTCATAGATGCTTTGGAGTGATACGTTGTCATTTAATGTTCACAACAACAAATGTCACCAGTTGATACACAAAGCAGCTGAGAGCTTAGATAACTTGTTGTCTTGAATGTCAGAGTGTGAAAATGTGAGACACGCTAAGCGTCAAACTGCAGAAGCCGGCCTCTTTGACCTATGATTCTGAGCTTGGTATCCACGAGTGTAACTGCATAGTAATCCACATTCTAGTTTGTGAACCAGTGTGCTGGTTTGGAAAGCTGTCTTTTCCAAAATCTACAAGACTAGTCTTAAAAATTACTCTGAGTCCAGCAGGCTGTATTGTTGTGGAATTACATCTACAAAGGCCAACTACTGAAGGAGAAATTTGGTGGCCGTGTTTTTTGGGTTTTTTTTTATATATATTTATTTATTATGTATACAATATTCTGTCTGTGTGTATGCCTGCAGGCCAGCAGAGGGCACCAGACCCCATTACAGATGGTTGTGAGCCACCATGTGGTTGCTGGGAATTGAACTCAGGACCTTTGGAAGAGCAGGCAATGCTCTTAACCTCTGAGCCATCTCTCCAGCCCGGTGGCCGTGTTTTATAGCACATGGTGTATAGCTGGTTGGAGTGTTCCTGTTTAGGTGGGCTAATAGAATAAGCAGCCAGTTGTTTTCTTACGTAAACCTCCCTTAGTACTTACCCTGTATAAGTTTAGCTCTTTATGATTACTCATAGTATATTCCCCAAAGTTGCCTTATAAGGAAAAACATGTACATAGCCAAAACTGGATCCAGTGCCACGAGTTGAACCACACCTGGTTTCAAATAAGGAACTTAAAATGGTTTCTTGGCCTTTTTGTTTTTCTCTTTTGAGATAAAGGTCTCCTGTGTTCCTGGTTGGATTTGTACTCTTGATCTTTCTGCCTCAATCTCCCAAATGCTGCTATTATAGGAATGAGCCACCATGACCAGTTCATTCATTACTGAATGAACTAGCTGCTGGGAAAAGAAATGGCCCCGAGTTCAAGGTCAGTTGACTATAGGAGACCCTTCTGTAAACATCTTTCTCCTCTTAATAAAAGAAACCTTTCCTTTTTGGAGACAGGGTTTTCTCTGTGTAGCCATAGCTGTCCTGGAACTCTAAGTATCCTAGGTTGGCCTTGAACTCAAAAATCCACTTGGCCTTTGCCTCCCCAGTGTTGGGATTAAAGGTGTGCCACCACTGCCCAGCAGAACATTCTCAAACTAGTGAATTTCAGGTAGTTTTTGGTTTTATTCATTTCTCAATATTCTTTCTTAAATGTGGCTAAATTTGGATTTTAAAGATATTTTAATAAGGTTTAAGCATGCGGATTAAGGGACTGTGTTACTCAGAAGAAAGTAAGACACACCTAGAAAATGGTAAGGGCTTCTTAAAGAATTGAGTGTAGGGAAGTAAGCTTTTCATATTCTTGAAGGTGTGGTTGTGACTCAGGTGATACACTGGCTAAGATCCTACTTGATGACACAGTTACAAAGCTAGTGTGTATGATTTTCAGCACTTTTCTTCAAAAAGAGTCTTCAGAGTGATAGCTTACAGTCATTCAGTCTTCTTTCTCCTCATTTCATACCTCTTTCCATCCCTTCCTCCATTCCTTCTAGTTTTGCACACTCCGTGCATTTGCAAATATATATTGGGAGGAAGAGTGCTGGAGATTGAACTTAGGGTTGCAAACAAGCACTGAATGGACATTCCAAGCCATTTTTAAAGATACTGGTTTTGCTGGTAGTGGTTGAACTCAAGGCCTGTCCATTTCTGGCAGTCACCCTGTTACTAAGCCACGACTTGAGCTCTCAGAGTCTTTGAGGGTTAAGAATCTCACTCAGTTTTTACTGCTGGCCTGTTTCAGACTTGGCAGCTGTCTTCTAGGCTTTCATATATCTACCTAAGCCATTAGAGATTCAGGCTCTGGAAGAGCCTTCATCCATCCCTTTGTCTTGTGTGCCATGTCCCATCTTAGATTTTAAAGTGAAAAACAGAAGAGTCAAGGATCAGAATATTTATGATTCAGGG